GTGACAGAAGCATACTGCATTAAAATGTGACAGAAGCATACTGCATTAAAATGTGACAGAAGCATACTGCATTAAAATGTGACAGAATCATACTACATTCAGATAGCCATGCCTTATTCACTTATATTACAACTACATAGCATCTTAGTTCTGACATTTCTTGTCTCCTTATTGCTTGCAGGTCTCATTTACTGGACAAGGGGAAACACAGTCCATGAAACAGTTGTCTGGGGGTCAAAAAACTGTTGTTGCCCTTACTCTTATCTTTGCCATACAGCGATGTGATCCTGCTCCCTTTTATCTATTTGATGAGATTGATGCAGCTCTGGACCCACAGTACAGAACTGCTGTTGGAAGTATCCATATTTATGTTTGCTACCATATTGTGTGAATTGATTGGTCCTGTGCATTTCATCCATCTCTATTGACTGCATACCTCATCTTCCATTGAAAAAGTGGCTCAATTCAGAACTCTGTGGACATTTTACTGAGTGAAATGGGATGGGATGCAATGAAATGGAGTGGAATAAAGTTGTCACTTAATTGTTTGGATGCTTATTTAGGATAAAAGGTGGTTTTATATTTGTCCCCTTAAATTGGAGGGGAGGGAAAAGAAGTGGTTATTAGGACTGAATGGAATGCACTATCATTAGATTCCGTTTCATTCTATCCTATTTTACAAATTATTCTTAACTATCTCGGTAGACATGATTCGTCTCCTATATTATTTTGAAAATCTATTATCATATCTTAAAAGAGTATCCTTTAGGGTTAATTTCCCTATTTAGTATATCATGTCAAGTAAGTATATGTAAGCCATATAATGATATATAGTATCTATTCTCTCCGTTTTGGTGGTTCTGGTGAGAAAAAGCTTTTGTTATGGTTGTCTGTGTTTCTGGTGCCATTGAAATATAAAAAGTTAATTCATGCTTGTGATATTCTTTCTGAATGACACGTAGATTTCAGGGTTTTATCATGTCTCTTTTGGGATTCTTATCTATTGAAATTTAAAAAAATAATCCATGCTTGTGATATTCTTTCTGAACTGCATATATAGATTTCCTGTTATATCGTGTCCCTTTTGGGATTCTTAACTATCCGTAGATATGATTCGTCGCTTGGCTGACGTAGCAAACACTCAATTTATCACAACAACATTTCGCCCAGAGCTAGTGAAAGTTGCTGACAAAATATACGGTGTAACACATAAAAACAGGGTCAGTCGTGTTAATGTTGTATCCAAAGAAGATGCATTGGAATTTATTGAGCATGACCAGACGCACAATGCTGAATAAGGTAAGCCTTATAACTTTCCCACAATTTCTCTTTATGATTACTTTAGGGTTTGTTATGATCCCCACTTCTATTTGGGGTCATTCCTTCTCTTATTAAAAATAATTGCATTTTTATGACCTTTGTTGCATGCTTTTCATTGATAAATTACAAGGCTTTTAAGCGTCTAACTTTTCAGTCGGTTATGTTTGATCTGTTTTTGAAGTGGTGTTTATGTGCTCTTAGGTGCTTTCACTCACACGTTATGAAGTAGATGTCAACACTAGGCACTCTTGGAAGATTGTTTTTGTAGAGATTGCAGACTCAAGTTCATTCAAATTCCTCGACCTACTATTTTTCTGTCGTGTAGTGGCTGGTGTGAGGCCAACCCTTGGCCAATTCTTGTCTGTTGTAAGTTACGATTATGTGAAAGTGAATCATGATTCCAATGAACCTTTCCGAATCCTAGGGAAAAAGTACTTTATGTAATATGATTACACTATTCCTAACTCCGTAGATGGTCTTCATAATTTAGTCAATATCAACCTAAATCATAGATCTACCATCAATTTCTGAAAATATTTAGATTCATTTTTATTTTTAAATATTTGAAACAATATTCGTTCTTAAGTCTCTTCTTTAAAATAGAAATTAAATTGAAAATTAAATGCTTTTAAATAAATGTATTCTGAAAAAGAACTTATAACTCTATTATATTTATCTATCCCAAATATTTAAATATCCCATGTACAAATAAACCGATCAAATACACTCTTTACATAAAAATGTTATAATTTAATCAAATTGTTAATTTGATTACAACGATAAAGTAAAGTAAATGTTTTCTACAATAATATTCAACTATAAATTGTTGTGCAATAAAATATAACCTTATATAATAACTAGTTTTAGAGTCTAATATTGAGTACCTTCTAGTTGATCAATGCATGATGCTTATATCTTTACAAAAATAAACTTTTGAACCTTCTTTCTTTAATTTATGTACGAAGCTAATTGTAAAGTAGTGCCATGTCTATCGGTTATAATATTTACAATATGGTTTCAGAAATTGTTTGTGATAAACAAGAAGTGTATATAAGGATATTAGCCTAAGCATAAACATATTTGATTTTTATTTTGGTTCATCCCATCATTAAATCATTAAGCGATGTTGAGTTTTTTATAATTTGTAAATGATTTTACTTATTATATTTACTACAATTTTTCTTTTATGGTAGATGTGAATACACAAGTCACTTTTAAATAATTAAGTCACTTCTGGTATGAATATTCTATTAGTGTTACTTTTGACAATAATAAAGGAAGTTGATTAAGATATATTAAAATTATCAAAAGAGAGGATACACAAGTATACTCTCCTTTGTTAAAAGATATCTTTCACAAAATAAAGATTTTACAATGACACACTCTCTATATCTCTATAAAGTAATATGTTATTTAATACTTATATTTGAACCCATGGCTCATGTGAAGTACGTTGTAATTGTACGTGAGATTGTTGTATAGATTATTATTCATTTGTTCTCTACGATGAAACTTCTATTTATAGACGCATTGAATAAGATTGTTGTAATTTTGCATACTAAAAGTTGTATCAAAGGTTGGTAATCCTTTTAACTAACATATATCTATATTGCAGTCAATTTATTATTCTTAAAAGTACATTTTATATTATTTATCCCTTTCTGAACTAATAACTCCAAATTTAACTTATAAGAACATGAAAATTGATTTGTTGTGTTAGATCCTACTTAGACGTGACTCAACTAAAGTTTCTTTCAAAGCCAGTTTAACAAATTTGTAAAATGACATATCGTTATAATAGAAGGGGTTGAATACAACTTTAAAAAACTTTTAAATTTTTTTCATACGGTAACCTATTATAAAGGAAGTTGTTTGACTGTTTATAAAACATGTTCAAAATACTTTTGCAACATAGATAAAAGAGACGACCAATAATGTCTCTCCAAGATAAGTCAGTAGTGCAAAAAGCAAGAATTGATGATACGACAATAATTCCTTACAACCCTAATTGATTCTTGACCATTGGTATTTTTTAAAATTCAGGCAACTATATGACACTAGTTGCCATACAATTGTCGTCATAAGTGACATATGACAACTATTGCATTTGAGCCATTGTTGTATCCATTTTACAATGAATATTTCTTAAGAAACTGCTGTCGTTTGATGAATATATCTACAATGATTGAAATGTAACCATCGTCATAGGTAATCTTTTGGGTTTAATTTGAAGTATGGACAAGTATATCCTCCATAGAGTTGCTCCTTTTTCTACTCCTGAGCTTCTCTTATTACTCTATTTTCCTTATTGCCATCGTCGTAGGTTCATATTTCTATCAATGCCACCTTGAATTGAGTTTCTTCAACCATGTCGTTGGTCCTGAACATTGTAGCTCCACCACAATTGTTGTCATCATTACGAACATTAGGTTATTCACTCCATGCATTCTTAAATTCATGCCTCATAAGCCATCTAAATTTCATTGAAAAAGACATCCCGACATACACTTTTTGAATCATGACTCAAGAATCATGACTTCTTGATAATTGTATGATCAAAGTTTTAATACAAAATAGGAGTATAATATAAAGGTATTAGGAAGAAGTTAATAGAGATTATGCACAATGTTTTGAAAAACAGGTTCAAGAAACTACACTAATTTCATGTTAACTACTGTTTTGTATCTAAATTATTGGTCAATTTTACACCCAATAGCCTTTATTTACCAGTGAGATTTTAATATTAGATGATAGAGTTTAATATAATTTTGTGGAAGTGATCACGATTAGCTCCTTCCATAACACAACAATGGAGTGGCTCATGTTTATGTTTTTTTTTTCTTAGAATGTTCATAATAAGCAACGATTTTTGGATTTTCTATCAATATTTTTGGGTATTATAGTTCTCTTAACCAGTTGATTGATGGATTTTTTTTTTAAAGAGATTTAAATAAAAAATACAACACAAATAAAATACAAGTCCGACACTAATAAGAAATTAAAATCAATTCTAATTCAAAATTTTAAGTAATGAGTTTTACACTGCTTAGAAACTGATATTAGAATAATTTAAATTTATATTTCTCTTAATGTTTTTTCAAAGATAAAATATTAAAAAAAATTGTTTAAAAACATACAATATATTAAAATGTAGTAATTGATACTTATACTATCTAGTTGGAATTTACATTAAAATATATTTATTTTATAATTATTGTTTTTATTAGTATTGTCAAAATGAATATCGGATTCAACCTGAATTGATCTTTTATGAGTTGGTTATTAATGAATCAATCTAACTCTGTTTACTTATTAACTAGTCAAAAAATTTTGAACCTCGTCCGATGAAACACGGGTTGATGGATTAAACAGGTTGACTCGCTAACTCACTTAATCACAAGTTTTTTTCTTCAATTAAAAAAGTAACAATTTTTTAATTCAAATATAAATAAAGGGGAATTATCTTAAATTATATTTATGATTAATCAAACATAAAATTTCATTCATACAAAGATATCACACAAAATTCTCAACAAAATTTGTAGTTGTTTCATAGGGATTTAAATTTGTTTTTTTCATAAAAATTGAGTTACTAAGTATATATTTGTGGATTTTTCATGTTGCTTAATTATTTCATACAAAAATAATTTCATGTGAGTCTCCATTTCAATATCTTTTAAAATGATTAATCCAACAAAAAATATTTATTAAAAAAATTAGGTAGGTTGATGAACCAACTCGACTCACCACAAGTTCAACCCAGGTGAACCGAGTTGTTAATGAATCGGGTTCAAAATTAATTCTATTAAAATTAAAAAAAAAAACTCAACTCAACCCATCGAAATTTGTGATAACCGAATTAACTTGCAGGTTTCACTCTGTTTGGACTGGACACTAGTTTTTACGCGTGTATATATATATATATTTTAAGGAACACAGTGAAATTGTCATTTAAAGTGGTTTTAGTTAAAGAAAATAAAATGAGCGATTATGATTGTGAAACAGGAGCATGCATATATAGATGAGGATCTTAAACAGTGGTTTGAGACGTTTATGCAGGAACTACCATAGTTGATTTAATTATGCACCAACTACTTTGAATTTGAACAAGTTAAGCATGGTGTAATTATTGGAAGTGAGTAGATAATAATGAGAAATAATAGAATCTGACTGAGCGTCAACTTCGTCATGATGTATTACATGTGCCAAATGGTCCCAACAATATGCAACAATATATAAATTGGATAGCAACACTTTAACCCTAGTTTTTGGCTACTAAATTAGCCGACTAGTTTGAAGAGTTTAGGTACAAAAATCTATTCAACTTTCAAAATCATTTGTTTATTGTGCCTCAGATCAAATATATGCTCATTTCTATGTCTTCACGGAACGCAACAACCTATACATGTTCACTATATCTAGTATAGGTCTCTTCATTTTGTAAATTCATCCACGACATATTAAATAGCCTCTCACTTTATAATTTTATAGATTATATATATAATCACAAAATTATATAATTATAAAGTTATAAAATAATAAGTTACATCATCCAAACTCGTATCTCTGTATTAATCAAATCATCAATATAAACAATATTATTGAACTTTGATACCCAAAATAAGATGAAATATATCAATCAAATAATGTTTATGACCATAATTATATGTTTATAAATATGATTAAGAATATACCTCTTAATTAATAGTTAAATAAAATAATAATCATAATGATTATATCACTTAAATATGAAAATCTTGAATGTTTAAACTTACGTAAAATATTACCTAGGAACATACGAGGAACAAGAAGTCAGTTGTTATTTTATTACGAACAAAATATCAATTAACTTGAATATGTTTTATTCTTTTATGGAAAACTCAATTTTCATATGCTTGTGATGGGTTATTACAATACAATTGAATTCCTTAAAATTAGTAACCTCAAATTGTTGAGTAATTTTAACTCATTTGTAGTTGTTAATAAGCATCACTCAACTAGTCAAAGAATGTCTTATAAGTAGACAACTCGCTTAATACAATCACACCATCTTGTAGTTCTAATTTACAGTATACTGCAGTAGAATACCTTATATATCCCAAATGTGTGTTCAAATATCTAATAATCCTTAATGTTGTTTCTCATTGTTCTGTATGAGATTTATGTATAAACTGAGATAAAATGTTTACAAACTAAGTAAAACAAAATATATTCATAGACAAATATTAATTGTCAAATTAGTTTTTGATAAAGTCTCACAAGTCAATGGTAACTTATGATGTTGCATTGAAAAATTTATAGGCTTAACACCTAATACACTCTTTAATAAATTTCATATTTTAGCTGACAATATAAATTTTCTTGAAGTTAAAGACTATCTCCAATCATAAAAAACATTTGAAGACCATCAAATCCTTCTTATAAAAGTTTGAACCTAAGTAACCTTTAAAATATATATATAT